AGCAACAGCTAGGTGAGTCGTCGAGGAAATCGTTCACAGGAAGGCAGAGTAAACACACTGCCACAGCGAAAAGAACACTGTGCGAGGAATGGCTGGTAGATGACAAAAGACAGGCTTCGAGACAGGCAAGGCGAGATTTGCACGCTGCTTAAGTAGAACGTAGCTGATTACCGAACTGGGAGCAGCGGAGGCAATCAGCCACGCCACTGCAGCTCAGCCTGGAGTCAGAGGGGAGAGAGGGGGAGATGAAAACGGGAGCAGGCGGGACATAAACTCCTAAAAAAAAAGTTTACTTCTTGGCTGGTTTCCCCAGTGCTTCATGGTTAAGTTGTTTGCTAGTTTGTTGTACTTCTTGTCATAGTTGTTGTCATCTGATTCTTCAGTTAAGTGAGGTGTGTGTTCATTTATTGTAATGTTCAAGGCACCAGTTTCTGTCAGATTTTTATGATCTGTTAAGTAGAATACTCAGCTAAAGGAACTTTGGTTTCCAGAGGGCAAGTGACTCATTACAAACCAAACAATCTATATCTCAGTCCAGTTTGCACAGATCCAGCGGGATAAGCCTGCATTTGGATGAAGGTGTGGTGGTGAGTGAGTCAACACACTCCTACAAACATGCACACAGTGCAAACAAATGAAGATTTCATTAACCGGGCACTGTGTCACCCCAGAGCTGGTGGCTCCACTCAACAGCAAACATGAAGTTAAAAAAAGCTTAATTAATAACTGTGTCACAAAATGTTTAGTTCAGTCTTTACAAGTTCTAAAAGTATAAATATCCTGATTTCTGCACTGCTGATCGACACCTGGTTACTCTCGATCATTCTTCACCTGCCTGTTTTCTTGTTTGTTCACTGCACTGTAAATAAATTTGGCACTACTTGCACCGAAGTCAGCTACCTGGGTCCGTCTATTCCATGTCCGAGCGATTCTAACACATTTAACACCACATGGATGTGACTTAACATAATTAAGGTCACAATTAATTGATATTTCTTATTAACTTAATCAGGAGCACAACAACTGATTTGTAGTGATTTGGTTTATCTTATATTTTGTCATACACACTATAAGTTGTAAACAACTCTAAGCAGCTAGTTGCAGTGACCGTAGAATGGGAAAGAGAGAATGAAAGAAAAATATAGATCATATTTTTGGTCCTGTAAAAACAGTAAAATGTGTAGTTTTTTTTGTCATGACAGTTATTTTATTTGCGTGTTGCCATTTTGATTAATATTGCATTACTTTACTGTAGATATATTGCAGTGATGAAATTAGAGGCCTGCAGGTCTGCTGTGGAAAAACTGGATGTCACAAAATTTCCTGATCCTCAGGTCAGATCAAGCTGAAGTGCTGATCGGTGGCCCAACCAGACAAAGACACCAGTTTGATCAGTCAGCATTAACTTCTGACAGCTGTGGGGTTTCTGAGAATCTGATAGCCAGGAATTTTCTATGTTACTTTTGATCCGCAGGTTTCTTGGTTTCTCAGTGTAATATGACCTAACTTAGGTTTACACTGTGGATGTCTCCATTGGCTGATCCATTTCTCTCCCTGCACTGCACCTATGGCCCCTTTAATCACATCATTTAATTCATGCCCTAATAAAATTTTTCTGTTTAGACTATGTCAAATCAGTCACTGCCACAAAGATGTGGCATCCAGGACGTGACCTGTGTCTTTATTCTTATAGAACTGCACCAATCTCTGATGTCTGAGTATTCACTTAACTTACTCATAAATTCCTTCAGCTTCATAAATTAGTGAGTAATTTGACCTTATTAGAAAATGTTGTGAACAGATTATACCAACTGTATGCATAAAAATTTTTTACACTTTCTAAGAATCAACAAATATGAATTACATTTAGCCTTCTAGCTTCCAATAAATACCAGCAGATTAAATTCATACAGACCTTTATCACACAGTTCAATGCCAGGGCTATGTCATTCATAATTTCCTGTACAGATGTGTGCTTTGGTTTGAAAGTCACAGAGGCCACTCACAGCAATATTTGGGTGGATTTGAGTGTATTGTAAAGCTGAAAATACATAGCATTATGAGAGAGCAGAAATTAGGTAGCAATATCAGCTCTATAGTAACTAACTATAAATGTTAATCAAGTTTGTTAATAAAATGAGCTCAAATGAAAGCAGTCATCTGCATTTTACAACATTTTCTTATCTTGCAGGCAAATGATATTTCATACATACCTAACCATCCAAAAACTTGCACTTTTAATCTTGTCCTTTTATTAACAAATTGTCTGAATAACTAAACAAATTTTTCATATTAGTGGTACAACACTGTACCTGCAAAGACAAAAGATAAAACTTTTGTTGCATATTGGTTAAACTCAGATATCAAAGTATAGGAGTTTTAATTTCCTTCTTCTCTCTCTGAAACTGGAAAAGTCATCTTGTTAATAAGGACGTTTGGACACGCTGTGGAGTTTGTTTGTGCCAGAATCACACCTTGAAAGGCCCATTTGTAGATTAAAAAGAAGACAAGGGCACTCATTGATTCCGTGGCTCAGGCTCTTCATCATTCTCTTATAGCTAAGCAAAGTCAGTGGAATCCTATGTATAGAGGACACTCCACTCTGTAGGGATTTGGTCAATCAAAACAGTGAGTTAAGGTGCAGATTAGAGACACTGCTGGCCAAGAGACTTTCATCCTGATTAAAGACAAAGCAAGACAGAGTCAAATAAAAGAGAAAGGGATACAGATGGAGATCAGACACAGAGATGATGAGTTAACCAATCCACAACATCATTGTCTTTACAGGCATGTAAGGTGCACTTGGAATCTTTAACTAACTTACCTGATGATGGTAATTTAAGACTGAGTTTTAATTTAAGGGTTGGTTTACTTCAAGTTAGTATTATACGGCATACAGTCCATCCCTCTGCAGCTGACAGACAGTTGACACCTGCTAGTGTGCAAATAAATGACTGGGACAAGCCCAGAGCAAAGACATCCCTTAACAAACTGAAAGGTGACATCTAATTGGTTCTGTGCTGATTGGATGAAAGAACACCTCTGGCCAAAAAGAATGATCCTTTCTTAATCACTAGGGATGTAACAATACCAAAAACCCATGGTACGATATTGGCACGATAAAAAGCCCACAATAAGATATTTATCACAATATTAAAAAATGAAGAAAAAAGATGAAAAAAAAGCCCTATAAGGATGAAGTGTGAGAACTGTGTCTGACATTTCCTGCAGTGCCAGCATTAGGTCAAAATTTCAATTTGCCTAATATTTTCGACTTTGTGTTTACTGCAAATTAACTAATAGTAGCATGTAAACTTGGAGATTTTAACACTGTCACTGTGAGTATGGTAGCATGCTAACCTTAGCATTTAGCCCACTGAGTCACTACCATGGCTATACATAGTCACAGGCTTGTATATATCAGTACACCTGAAGAACGACATTGTGAAGTTGAAGGTTTTGGAAACAACTTGTCAGAGTCTGAGTCCGACAAGCAAATCAAAATGCATCAGTTTCAAGGAACTAGTGCCAAAAAAGAGACTGATTCATTGCTGAAGTACGGTTTTGCTGTTGAGGTTAGGGCTTCAGATAGAGATGGAACCCAGAGCTCTGTAAATTGCTTTATTCGATGGTCTGTTTAGTTATGATAATAAATGTTTGAAAATTGATATTTGATTCCGATTATTCTTCATGAAGAACACGCTACACAAGCAAATCAAAATGCATCAGTTTCAAGGAACTAGTGCCAAAAAAGAGACTGATTCATTGCTGAAGTACATTTTATGTTAAAAGATTCTGCATTGCAACAACCTTAGCCAATTATCAGCTGACAGCTGATATGGTTGGCTACACACAGCCCAGTGGAGCCTGACATCCTACTGTTGGCTTCATGTGCCAGTTTCATCAGGGATTAATAGAAAAGCTAGTAATAGGTTAAAAATATATTGTGGCAATTTTCTTTTGCATTACAGTATATTTTCTAATAAAAAAATCATCCTGTCTTTTGAGGTTCAAATAAAACTAGAAATGATTTGTCTGTTAGACTGTTTTCTGTGTATTCAAATAATATTAAGAATCCATGTGTCAGGGATGTTGGAATATTTTAATAAAGTCACCCTGTTGTGGGATGATTTTTTTCATTTGAAATATAGTATATATCATTTAAGATTGAAATATTTGATAAAATTGTGGCCCAAGAGGCAGCCAGATTAAAAGCACTTTCATCCTTTCACTTTGTGGTTTGCACTGACGAGCCAGACATGGTGACTGCTATGGACTCCAGTCTTCAGCATGAGTAAATGCATCAACACTGGGTAAGAAGTGTGACTCATGAGATAAGGAGTCACCTGTCCTACTTTTAGTCTAGTTCTCTGTCTCGCTTTTAGTAAACCATGTCTCCACCGACCTTAAACCTACTGTACATGACCTTTGAGAGATGGCTTGCTGAGACACGGGATCAAATTAGAAAAATATTGCACCTTCTGCTTTGAGTCTTAAATTTTAAAACCCTAAAATTTCACAGGGAAAATAAATTCACAGTTTCAATTCCACTGATCTCATTTTGACTTTTATTTGAAACTAGTTCTATGCACGAATGAATCTAAACTTTTGAAAGCATGTTTTCAGTGAAAACATGCTTTCAAAATACTTTAACATGTTACAAATTATTTGTTGAGATCAAACTCTACACATCATTACAGCTCTATTTTGACAGTCTCAAATACAATAATTTACACCGGCATTTTATCAAAGCCAGGGAGGCAAAGGATATACAGTTCATCTTGACAGGTAATTTCATTGTAAGATTCAAATCCATATACAGATATAAAACAGTATCACAAAAAAGGCAAAGGCACACAGACTGAATTTATTAAAGGCAAAAGAGGAATGATTAAAACCCAATTTCCCTGCCTGTGTAAACAGCTGCCCAAATTACCTGTTCTACCATTATGAAAAAGATGATTTAGGAAACTCATGTTGGGATAATTTCTTAATTTGCCCTACATGTCATCAGCATGTGGTTGCAGCCTAGCAGAGCGGTGGGGATCCAAGGTCACAGTAGCTATGTGACCAGTAATTGGGTCTACATGGAAATTACCCATTTGTTGCTCCTGACTACTGTTTAGAGACATGGGCTCCAAACTGGCCTGCTCTTGGTTCACTGCCAGCTTTCTCATCAGCGCACTAATTTCATCCACTTCCCCGTCTCCAGGTAAATGCCGATGCAGATTCTCTGAGTCATCCTCAGTGGAAAATGGGGGATCAATGGCATACAGCACACGGGAAGCCTGGAGGTTCTGCAGCGACCGTGACTGGACTGTGTGCGAAATAGACATTAGCCTTTAGAACTCAAGGAAAGTGCACCATTGATTGCTTTTTTCAGTACTGTCAAGCAGCTTATGGTAATAAATTCCTCCTTTCTGCTGTGAAAATCTTGCCTCGTAATTAAAAATTGACATTTTGGCGGTTTGTCCCAATAAATTTGATTAGGAACTTATAATTAATGATAGAAGCTGGAGACTGCAAATGACCTTGATTCTCTGTGAAGTTTTTTATAAGTTTAAATTGACAACCAATCCTTGGACAGGCAGAGCAGGCTGTGAGGTAACAAGCTTCTTAGCTCTGACAGACAGTTGCTAGATTAATTGGCAGGTGGGCACATAAAATTATTTGCTGCTGAAGGTTACTCACTTCTGACTGGACTGAAGTCTCCTTGGCTGACCTTAGTGTCCGAGAAGGGCTTCAAGCTGGGGAAAAGGATTAGGGAGAAGGACAGCAGAAGCACCTAAAAGTGCAAAAATAAAAATCAATCAATCAATCAATAAAGGGACAGGGAAAGGAGATGCAGACAAGGGATTCCCAGAATAGGTGGAAAGTACAAAATTCACATTGCATTCAAGTCAAAGGACACTGCTGCCTGACCATCTTTTGAATGGCTGGCTTATGGACATGTGAATATGCTTTCAGCTTGCAGATTATTTTCCTTTGCCTCAGGTCTTGCACTTTATTCCACTGCAGTGATCAAAGGCAACGTGCATTTCTCTTCAGGGAGACTGTGTTTTTGTGTCATGTCCACACTGTGTACACACTGTGGCCTTTCTCACTGGCTATTCCAGCTGTAACAGCTGTTGCTACTTGGTTTGCTATGAGGGGGATGAATCATACACAGTGTCTGGGCAGTTCATTTATCTGCGTGCACACACACACACACACACACACACACACAGAGCTGTGTTTTCATTGCTTGTGGGGACTTTACATTGACTTACATTCATTTCCTGTAGACTTATCCTAACCTTAACCACACACACACACACCAGAACATACCAGAACACATGTCCCTGCCTGGGCTGGCTTGTTAGTTGCATTCATGACCAGAACCTGCAGCCTGCGTAGCTGTTCCATTAGTGACCTGCAGTAAGGATGGGAGAAAGATTTAAAAAAAAAGACACAAGGAAGAAAAAATAAGAATGTTAAAAAAAACAATTAATTTGATTAACAATGTATTTGTGGAACAAGAGGGAAAGGCAAAATGTTGGAGGCAATATCTTCATGAATGTGTGTCATAAAATTGGTGCAGGAGATTACAGCAGAAGTGAAGGCTTAGAAATGAAAAGTTCTATTTTAAAATCATTCACATGTTGCATTTCTCCAGATGGGATACTTTTCTCTGCAGTTCCTGGTTGTGGGCACTGCAGGCAGCCATCCTAGAGGAGACAAAACACAGGGGACAGATAGGAGGAATAGGACAAGGTTAAATCCATAGCAGCCTCAAAATATAATGATCTTATTTATTATGATGCAGATTAAAATACAGGGATGAAACCTTTTATTAACCTCCCATTAAGCAATATACAGTATATTAAAAAGCCTGTTCAGGTAATTATTTAAAGGAGGACACAGGAAAATGTGCATGTTTTACAAATGGCCTGCACCTTTCACTACAAAGCACAGTACTTAGATTAATTTCACATCTGTTCAGCAGCTGACTCACAATTCACATGTATGAAACATTTTTTAAACAGTCCTTGCTCCTGCTATGACAACATACTTTTTTTTTCACACAAAGCTGTTGATAAACTTGATTGTAAATCTGCAGCAAATTGTAAGTCTCTGCAAGCTGATGTTTAATTTTTTTTTGTCTTTAACAGCTAATAAAGAACATCAGTTACCATGGAGAGGGGGCTGACAAGTGTCAAACCCAGAATCAAACCAAGGAGTCACAGTTACCACAAGGTGATTTTCACAATATACTGAAAATAAATGACCAACGACTACCCCGAGGGTACAACAATCAAGAAAATTACAATATACTTTGAAAAATCAGCAATACAGTGCATTTGGAATATTAATAATAATATGCAAAAATATACTCTTGTATTGTAACTTTTGGTTCTTACCTGCTCTCCAGCCCATCAATGTATTCCTTCTTCTTCTTCCTGCTCTCCTGGGCAGACTGCTTATTGCGAATCTTTCTGCGTATTTTCTTCAAAATCCTTTCTTCATACTGATTGGCAGAAAAATGAACATTTTCATTTAAAACTGCTACGGGATCAATTGCTAATTATTATTTATTGTCAAGTTACTGATAACAATTTACCTTGGTGAGGGGCAGTTGGCTGGGTAGAGTCACCCCCTCCTTTGCCAAAAGCTTCTTCTCATCTTCATTTAGAATCAGTTCTTGAATGGACTGCTGGGCCGGCTGTGGTGGCTGGTGATGAGATGCATCATGAATACTAATTTAAACTATGCTGAGTATGTGACCAGATACATTAGTACCTGTATTGACAACATTGTGCCCACCATACAAGTCAGGAGGTTTCCCAACCAGAAGCCCTGGATAAACAGTCAGGTAAGCCACATGCTGCGTGCTCGCTCTCATGCATTCAGATCAGGCGATGAAACAGAGTACAAAGCTGCGAAGTACAGACTGAGGAAAGCCATCACAGCGGCCAAGAGGCAGTACAGAGAGAAGCTGAATGGCTTCTATTCTACTGCTGACTCCGGACAGATGTGGCAAGGCCTGCAGCACATCACAGACTACAGGACCACCAGCATCATCAGCTCCACAGAGAGCCTGCCAGATGACCTCAACAGCTTCTACACCCGCTTTGACACCTCCAGCCACAGCACAGAGAGGAGGCACACACACACCCCCCAACCCCCCTCCACTAACTGTCTCACCAGCCCAGGTACGCACAGTCCTGAGGAAGACTGACCCCCGCAAAGCGGCAGGACCAGACAACATCCCTGGGAGGGCTCTCAGGGCATGTGCCAGCGAGCTGGCTGATGTTCTCACCACCATCTTCAACCTCTCCCTCAGCCAGAGCATCGTTCCCACCTGCTTTAAGACCACAACCATCGTCCCCCTTCCCAAGAAGAGCCCGGTCACCTGCCTGAATGACTACAGGCCAGTGGCATTCACCCAAGTCATTATAAAGTGTTTTAAGAAAGTGGTGCTGGCCTGCATTCAGAGCAGTATACCGGACCCCCTGGACCCCCTGCAGTATACGTACTGGTCCAACAGGGCCGCCTCAGATGCCATCGCGGCTGCATTCCACTATTCCCTTTCTCACCTGGAAAATGGAGACTCCTACATCACGATACTCTTCACTGACTACACCTCCGCCTTCAACACAGTTGTCCCAAACAAACTGTCCACACTAGGTCTGCACCCCACCACCCACGACTGTGTTGCCTCCCACAAAGAAAACATCATCCTAAAGTTCACGGATGACACCGCAGTGATAGGTCGCATCACTGGCTGGGATGAAGCAACCTACAGGAGGGAGGTGGCCGGTCTGGCGTCATGTTGCAACAACAATAATCTCAGCCTCAACATGGAAAAGATGAAGGAGATGATAGTGGACATGAGGAAGGAGAGGAGATCTCATCAACCATTGTTCATCCAGGGGCTCAAAGTGGAGAGGGTGAGCAGCTTCAAATACCTGGGTGTCCACATCAGTGAGGACCTCACGTGGACACATAAAACCACACAGCTGGTCAAGAAGGCCCAACGGTGGCTGTACTTCCTGAGGAGGCTGAGGAGGTTTGCCATATGTTGTCTAGCATCCTTTGCAACTTCTACAGCTGCATCACTGTCTGGTATGGCAGCACTACTGCTATGGACTGCAAGCGCCGGCAGAGAGTGGTAAAGACTGCTGAGAAGATCACCAGGACTCCACTGCCCTCTCTGCAGAGCATTTACCACCGCAGGGTGCGTAGGAAAGCTGCCTCC